ATCGACAGCAATAAATTATAAATTTTCTCAAACGCGAGATGATAAGAATATCAAATAAACGTATAATTGTAGGATCTACTAGATATTAAATTATCTTATATCAAAAATAGATAAAAGATCTATAGAAAGAGAATGATACAAGCAATGAAATTTGTTAATTTGTATTATTAATATCAAGCATTCTTGATACTTCCTTCATCGAAATAACATTTTTATTATATTATCTAATTATATTGTTATTGTTACAGAAAATCCTCCCTCCTCCAAGACAATATTGTTTAATATTTAATTGTGTGTATGTGTGTGTGCTTGTTATTGTTCTATCATATCTATTAGATTTATAATGCTGTACTACTAACGCATTACGATTTTCAGTCTGATTCATAACGGCCCATTACTACTTTTTATAGCAGCGACATATAACTTTTCATAGTTTGCTTTACAACTGACTTTACTGTCGAGTAAGTAATGTGTTTTAGCGTATCTGCCATCTTCCAACATTCCTTTACTATTATTATTCTTCTACTATTAATAATATATAAATAATTTTATTGATATAATAAATTCTTTTGCACACAAAATTTATCATAAATAAATCTGTTATTAAATGAAATAGAAAGAAAATGGTTAAAATAAAGTCTAATATATGTGTGTATTATTTCTTTACTAAATAAATTTTTCGGTTTTAATTTGTAACGTTATAGAAGGGAAGAAAATGTAGTTTGCGCTAATTATCATGCTGCATACGAAGAATAAGCATACGAGATCAGACATTACCGTCTGTCATTAAATCACAAGTCGCCAAAATTATCCCGGTTTTAATTTCTAGTAATTATTGAACCATTAATACAGAAAAGTAAGAGAAATAAATACGGTACTTATTGTTAGTAAGACTATTTTCGATTAGCTCTTGAATATCGAGTGAAGACAGATTGCTTTTATTTGCAAACATTTGCGCTACAAATCGCGTCTCTCTCGGCGAGCAAGTTTAATTAGATCGAGTCCTTCTTTACAAGCCGATATCGAATTCTTGATAATACTGAGAAAAAAAATGTCGATAGTAATCACAGCCACAATCCGTATATAGTATAATCCGGTTTGTCAATTATCATCAATAAATTGTGTTCGAACTGCATTATCAATTACATGATTATCCGTGTAAATAAATATGAAAAGGCGTAATATGTACACTATAATAATTTATTTGCTCAAATTGCATATGTATATTATATATTTCGATTTGCACAAACAAACTTTCATGTAACTTTTGTGTATTAATTCATTACTTTCACAGTATCATAAGATTATATTTTGAGATTAAAAATCTTAATGTAAAGATTCTAAATCTTTGGTCAAATGTTTTATGATACAAACAATCTTTCAAAGTTTTTCTTAACTGTTAATCATTTTATAGATAATCAGTTAGCAAATCAGTTGATTTATATATTTGAGTTATTTGAATTTTTATAAACTTTGACGCATTCTGCTCTTTTTTGAGAATATCTAAAATTTTAATATCGTTATTAATTTGATCATAAATTTGATTTAATATTTCCTAAATTTGAATCTTTTAAATATGCAGAGAAGGGGAAAAAGGCGTTAATTTAAGAAAAGTAATTAATATATTCGGCGTATGCCAGGTATTCTTTTCATATTTTAATAAGTCCTATCTAAACTTCTATCTTTTAATCTTGTTAGCGACATTTTGCATTCTACGCGGACTGCGTTTATATCCAAGTTCGTAACGAAGTATTTGCAGTAACTTCGTGGATTATTGTTAATTATACAAGAAAGCGGTTCCGCTCTCGACGTGACAGTTGCCGATCTAGAATTTCATATTAATTAATACAACAGACGCGCGTGGGATGCCCTCATGCGCGTTATTATTAATTTCAGTGCGCACCGACTCGCTCGTCGCTGTTTCCGCATTATAACTTCATCCGATATGAAATTCACGAGAGAAACGCACATTATTTCGTGACTATTATATAAATTATTATAGATTGCGCTAAAAAAATACGATGAAAACAATAATAATCTACATAGATTACATATTCAAAAATAAATATGCAATCTATGTTGTATTTTCTTTTACCGATAATATATTATAGAGAATCAATAAGGATCAGAATAAAAATAACCGCATCTCAGATTTCCAGACGAGCTATTATTGAAAGCATAATGAATTCATTACTGGCAAAAACATAACATGTTTCAATCATGTTTATTTTTTATTCGTGTACATGCTTCATATATACACGCACAACTTATAATATAAATATACTTGTAAAACATTGATGTGAACAATAATAGTATACAAATAATAATTTTTACTTATTTTATAATTTGTATATAAAATTCTTATTCAATATATATGTTTTACAATTTATATGTTTATCAAATTTGTGCTTGAATAAATATTTTAAAAACTAACAATCCGTTTCTCCCTCTCTCGCATTTCTCGCTGATTGTCTGTTTTGCCTCTTATATTGCCAATTTGTCAAGCCGGTCATGTTATAAATTTTAAGAAGCTTAATTCCACGTAATTACCAAAGTTTCTAGGCTGCCCCGCGAACAAGGGAACAGTTACGGAGCTACGAAAGGGGGCAGGGAACGCGAAAAAAGAAAGAAAAAACGAAGACGAGGAGAATCGTTTGAAAGTTTTTAAGACCGAGCTTTTTAAAACATGCCGACGTTTTTCAGTTGCTTATTATTTACTTTTCCACAAATTCGGCAGACGGTGACTCGCAACAAAGATTAAAAGAGGACAAACGACCGCCGCGAAATCAACAACATTATGATTTATGGAGCAAAGATGGAAATCCTATGTCAGAAACATGCGACACCACGCACACACACATATATCGAGGGTCGCGTCCCACGAGACTCTCAGACTCTTTATCCCGTAGCGAGGCCAATTTTTTCGATCTGCATTTCGATCATCATCGCACATCGTAAAAGAGCACTCGCGAGAGTACTTTCTCGTGAGATTTATGATGTCTCGATGCTCGGAAAAATGGAAACTAAAAATCCGATGAGAAGGAAATCGATTGTTTCGAGCGGCGCAAGTCTAAATTTCGCTGTTACTAATTGCACAAAATATATCATTTTTACAAAACTAAATTCAGTTTTCGATTTTAACTTTTTAATAATATTAACATAAATTATTACGTTAAAAAAATAATGGTTTATTAACTTAATCTATAAGTCCTACAATGTTTGCAACTCGATTGTGATTATAATCTTTTAACTATCATAATCTTTTATGAAGTCGAGTTCGTCGCGACACACCGACCGTAATTCTTGCAAAAGCTATTATACTACTGACGAGTGATCGAAGCTCCTCCGGCAAGGACTCTCGGTGTTGGTGGTGCGAGGAGTTGACGCGCTATTTCAGGAAGCTATAGTGATTACGCTTCGGTCGCCAATGAGAGCTTATCTCGGCGGCGACTTCTAAAGAAGATGCCTTTATATATACGTTTAAACGCCGTTAGTAGCCGCCGCCAACAGCCCTTTCACCCCCTTGACCCATCCCGCGGCTAAACTTACGCCAGGCTCGGTAAGTTATTACATCGTGAAAATAAGAGGAAAATTGGAAAGCGGTTTAGCCGTGAAAACGGTGTCAATTACCGGCAGTCTCGACGATACCGGTTCGAGGGGGAAAGAGAGACGGCGTCTGGCGACCTGCATCTCTTGCGCAAGGGGATGCTTTTACGACGCCGACAAAGGACGATGCGTCGAGGAGCGAACCTAACAAAATATTTCTCGGTGGTAATTTTCTAATGATGTTACCCGGCAAGATTGTAATTACCAGGTGGAGGTAAGAGAAGAAACTAATTTATTGCGATCGTCGAGAGCGGAAGCAGCGGGGTACAATCTGATAAAACGGTAATTCGTTATACGCTGATCAAGGATAATTTGTAACGTCGCCTTTCAGGAGTGAGTGATAGCCGTCGCGGTGCAATGATAAAGTTTGAGAGATGGACGTGAATAGAGGGTGAACGTGATAAGGAGTTCGTGTTTACCAAAATTACTGGAAAATTTCCGGCATTAGAATTTCGTTTGAAATGATCTTTGCTATTCAAATGTTTGTGTCCGAATTTATGCAAAATTATTATAATATTTCTTCTAACGACATAATTTTTAGATTTAGTTAAGCTAATAAAAAAATAATTCACGCTTTTATTATAATTCTGTTTATTATTGTTTACATTTATAAAATATCTGTATAAATTCATTGATTCAATAATACAATTTTTGATAATATTGTTTCTCCGTTTTATATTGGGTTAAACGGAAAGTTCGTGTCGTTTTTCGGTCTTCATCTTTTAGTAAAAAACGGAACAAACTTCCGTTCAACCCAATAGTTCGTTCCATAGGTTTTTGAATAACCGTCAATAGCAGAAAAAACACTTTTCGGTACATTTGAAATTGATTATTAACTGGTTTATTTCAAAACCTATAAAGCGAGCTACAATCACTTTGATCTCATTTGAAAGATAATTTAATACCGAACAAAAAGTTTCCTATAAACATGAGTCGAAAAATACTTCCTTTAAAAGTTAGCGCCCAAAAACCTGTAAAATCACAGTTATTTTTTATATTTTTACAAATATCAGGGAAAGTATGCATCTTTTAACAAAAAGTACCAAAACAAAAATTGTAGAGAATTAAATTATCTTTCAAATGAGATCAATTATTGTATTGGTTAAACGGAAAGTTCGTGCCATTTTTTCCGTCTTCATCTCTTAGTAAAAAACGGAACAAACTTTTCGTTCAACCCAATAGATATTCTCGGTAGAATTATTAATTTATCAGAGTTCATTTATTTTCGTTTTAGTCCGTGTAATCAAGACAACTATCAACAACCTACAATAGCATCAAGTTGTGGCCATTTATTTCGATACTCGTAGAACCAACCGAGCGTGTTTACGCAGACTAATAAATTTCGTTCCCGAAACTCCCTTCGAACTTTATGATAAAGTGCCGGCGTCACTTACCAGTAGGTGTACATGGAGTTCTTGCCGCCTCTACTAGATCTTCGCGACTTCCGGGCGGCGCCTCCAGCATTGTTCCGCTGCCGGAAAATTTCTTTACGCATAGCAGGCTCAACGCTAAAAAAAACAAATATAACATATTGTATATCACGAGCACACAATAGCTGATACCTCATATTCGCCTCTTGCCACATCAACTTATATTTTTTTTTAAACGGACTAATATCTACTTTCTCTTTCTTTTCTTTTCATAAAATAATGTATTATAACTTTCAATCTTGATTCTCACATATTTATATTTATATCATGAGTAACGTACTAAATAGATATTTATATCTTTCATTATAAATCAATATAATGTGAAGTTTATTATCAATATATAATGAAATTATGAACATAAGAAATTGCTTTTATTTATACTGACGATTTGTGCATTATTTTCTTATATAGAATAATCCTATATCACATGTAAAATGTGGCATAGCACAATATATCATATATGATATATTTTATATAATCTGATATAATTAAAACACATTGCAAAGCTTGCTTAATTTTTTTAGACGATTTAATCTGCTTGGCATTCTATATCTTTTTCCCAGGAAATTGGACATGCTATCATACATATTTCAGGGTATCTACTCAAATAATGTAAAAAGATTTTCTGAAAATTTCCTGATCTTCCAGGTATTTTGTATTTGTCTTTCAGATATTTTTCTATCGCAATTTATTTTGAACATATACATAGTTTCAAAGATAATTCAACGATCAAAATTTGTCCAAGCTTTTAGCAAAAAATGTTCATCGAAATATTTTTATTTGTTAAACAAAATATTCTCTTTCTCTGTCTCTCCTTTTTTCTCATAAAAAGCGAAATTTATCAAAACTTGGAAATTGAAGTTTCGGTGAACGGAACGATCGCCGCTCTTTCCGTTCCTCATTCGTCATCCGGCTCACACCATGTGATATATACGTGAGGTGAAATTCGAATGTTTATATAGCCTAGCGTCTTAAGGATATCCAGGCTCGACACACACACACACACACACACACACACACACACACACACACACACACACACACACACACACACAATTTTTAATCCAACTTTACATATCGTTATCTAAAATCTGAAATAAATGACAAAAGCGTAACAATTTTTTTAATTTAAAAATTGTTGTATATGTGATTATATAATTTAGAAAAAGAGTCATCAAAGCAAGAAAGAGAAAGAGAGAAACATGTAATCACGACAATTTAAAGTTATCGATTCACATATCTTATAATGTACATATAACATTTATATCAAGCAAACCCTGCAAATTAATTTGAAATATTATACCTCAAAATATAATTTTCTAATTAAAATTACAACCATACACACCCCATGTAGATCTTATAGAATGTAATTTACCAACTTACCCCGCTTCACGTCTCGCCACGTGTTCGTAATTTCGCCGAATCTACACAGTCTGTTTGGTGTCCGTCCATATATTCCTCTCACATTGTTCAGATGTTTAATTTCTCTCAATTCTATAACAATAACATTTAACAATAAATTTCAATAACAAATATTAATTTCTGTTTAATGTTTAATATGGGTCCATAATATATTTCGTTCTTGTATAATATTTGAAATAAAAGTTTTTATGAAATAATTATTATAAATATAATATTTTTCCCAAATGTAAAACAAACTGTAATTAAACATTGAAAAAGAAAGAAAAAAATGCAAAATAAAAATAATTTTTATATACAAATTTATTTTATATACAATTTGAAATTTACAATATTTAAACAAATATACTTGCGTATAAATTATATCGCGTATAAATCGATAATTAAATAAATAATTACTGACAAAAGAGATTGTTATAAGAAAAATAGACATGATCGACAACAATATATATGATGTCGAGCGGGTGGCTATTATCAAAATTGCTCTAGCAAAGACGCCTTCTCTCAAACTCAAGGTACTTCCCTTTATGGCGCACTCCGTCAAATTGCTCGTCGCATGAAGTAAATCGAGAGCTCCGCGTCAACTACTGCTTTAGACTCATCTCCCTACCGTTTACCATTCAACGAGGCTTGCATTCGCGTTCCATTTGCAGATCAGTGCACTCGGTGTGAATAGACGCGCCTCCCATTTGCCTATTTCTTATGCGAACAAATGTATGTACAAACTACTTTTCACACAGCTTGCTAATGGCTTCATTAATATTCTAAAGCTTCATAACTTACAAAACGCGCATTGTAATATACGGGCTTTTGCAGCCTATAATGAATTGGAAAAAGAAAATAACAATAAACACATTATTATACAATAGTTTGGAGCGTTCTTAGAGCTCAAATTTAAAATTTTAAGCAAGCTTGCAGGAATAACTACATATATATAAAACACAATAAATTTATGATTAAAAAACTTGAGATAAATAAATAACATAGAAGAGCTAGAAAATATCAAGAAAAATTTCTGCATTTTTTAAAATTTGCTACAAATTTAGAGAGTTAAGAAAGTTTAGAGAGAGTATATTTAGAGATTCGTAACCGTTCTCTTTGCATTTTCCATGCAAAAATATTTAGGAAAGAACTTTATTTTGCATTTAAGAAAGCAAGAATTTATTTAACTAGATATATATTCAACTAAATAAATTTGCAAACTTTAACAAGATTAATAAATCACAATAAAGAGATTTTTTTCTGTTTTATTTTTATATAAATTTTCATATAGTTTTTAGATGTGAAAAAAATTGTAAAGATAGTTTATTGTTTTTGTGGTTCAGAAATAACAAATTTTACTATCGTAATAATTGATTGCATTACAGAACAAGCAGTTAGTACGTATACAATTGCTACAGCTTCATCCTACATAGGCAAGTTGTCTTTAATTTCAATTAATCAACGCCTATCAAATGTTACGCGATTGAACGTCATTGACGGGGCAGGACACCAATTGCGCAATTTGCTTACGAGTAAAGATAATGTGCGTTTTGCACTGAACGGGAAAATGCGCGTAATCACACGAAAATTCGATTAACGAAGTCCCAGGATGCGCGACGGCGATAACAGTTAATTGTGCGTTTCATTAGCGAACGCTTCCGTACGGTCGTGCGCGCATTGTAGTTAAAACGCAGTTTTAACAGCGAGTAACCCGATAGGTTTTAAGCCGGTATTCTGTGTCGGATACCTGGGGCAAATTCACTCTGAAATCGTTAACCTCGTTTCTCGCCGGACGGCTAAATCCATCTGAGTCTCGCCATAACTTAAACCGATTTGCGTGGCAATCAATTAATTTGGAGGCTCGAAATACTTGAAAAAAATTTGACTAATTTACCTTCATACTTATTTTATTCGCGTTCTTTTTAATACCAAGCCTAATCTAATTCTTGATGACATAATTATAAGTTCTTATATAACTTTTTAAATCAGATTAATCGTCAAGTATCTCGGTATGGCTTGTTTTTTAAATTTTTAATCAGAATAACTTTAAATTTTAGTTTTGATGATGTTACATGGAGTTAAAACATCACGTAAATTACATTTTGTAATTATATTTTGCCAGAAATAATATTTTTCATCTCAATGCAATCGAGTAACTCTAAATCTTTCATTTATTCGTAATTATTCCATGTCACTCATAAGACGCGAAATTTTGTATTTTATCTCGCTTTTATCGCTGTAGTGTCTTGTATATTCCTTGTCCGCGAAATAACGAAGTGATATTAATTTAGCTATCCATCATAAATATAAAAAAGTTATTTGCCCGTAAAAAGTTCGTTCGCGCTGCTTTATTTTCTCGCGTATGCTTTAGTCAAGACAGAAAGCCCGAGAATATTATCTTCGACGTTCCGAACTCTTCGATATGGCTGTCGACGGCTTTAAATCAGACTAAGTTATTAAATTGAAACGTGAAGCGACATATTCACTTACGACTCTTATATATCTAAGACACTTTCCTTAAAGAAACGCGACATCGCGGAAAATATAATCTGCGGTGGCTCTTATGGTTGACCTGAACTACTCATATTTATTCTTTCTATTTAATTTCACATAAAACGTAATAACTATTTTATTAAAATTAGTTACTCGATTTTAAGCGTATATAGAGAGAGATTTGCGTTCAATCAAGAATATTTTTTAACATAATATCGTGACAAGAAATATACAATCATTTTCTTTTTAAATCTCAAACAAAACGTCTCTTTGTGGGAAGGGATGAAGAGAAAGACGTTTAGTTATCCCCGCATTCGCCCTCGTGCCATTCCCGTTCATAGTGTGCATCGCAATGCAACACTCACACTTATGCATACAACTGTATCTGCGGTATATATGTACACGCTCTCACGTGACACGCAATCTAGGTGCGATATATAGAGCTGCGCCAAATGATGTGACAGGACATAAACCATGTGAACTACGATGGATGTGGAGAATCGTATGTCGTCGTATTGAACCTTTTAACTAAATTATTTCTCCCTTTTTGATGAGAGCATTATAATTCAAAATTAGAGAAAAATAATGTGTTTGCGAAAATATAATGTAGTAATATTATCTCTAATTTTAATATGTAGCATATATAGCACATTTTAATAATATAAAAAAATTTGACTTCATGTTCTCTAATAAATTCTTATTATATTTTATTTTTTATATGAGACAGACTTTATTATCTTATTTAACCGCCATATTGAATATTAAAAAAGATCATTTTTAATAAATATTTAGAGAACACTATATCTTATATTTGTTATTAATAAATTATAAATTATGGTTTCAGGCATTCAAGATACTTAATTTATATCTTGAGAATCATGCTGAGAAGAAGGTAAAACTCGAATATGAAGGACAGAAATCGGATGATAACTGATTTATAGCTTTCTATCGATATCGATACAAAATCATAAATCTTAATTTGACACTTCTTTTCTCACGCTTTGACAGCAGCCCTATCTTGAAGATTTAGCTCGAATCCTCTCGTGTGTATATTTCCCCTCTGATTTTATTTCGTATCCAATCAGTATCACAATAATGTCTCTCTATTTTCGGCACTTTTCTCTATAATTCATGCTCGTGAAACACAACTATACTTTATCCTCGGCTCTCTCGCGTACGCGATCTGCATATTATTTTTATGTGTTGAGCCCTGGAAATTCTCTTATTAATCTAGGAGCTTGTGAGAAATTTTCACCTGCATAATTAATAAGAAAGGTTACGAAGAAAAGTTTATAGTTAATACCACAATGCGTATATTTAATAACATTTTGAAGTAAAAATAGAGAGTCATATAATTCGCCTTTAATAATTACACAATTATCTAAATTTTATCTTTATTATTTAATTAAATATCAAAGAATTTCAATTTTTTTGATAGATATACATATATCGTATATAAAGGCAACTCTATATTTTCTGCTCCTTCTCTCTCTTGAAATAAAACAATAATTATAAATTATTCTTATTCTTATCAAACTAAAGATTATAAATATTAAAATAAATTTCTAATTGCATTTGATATAATAGATTTATTTCGATGCAATAACGCGGTCGCGCATATTAGCTTTTCATCGAGCTGTTCTATACATGCATATACAACAACGTCCTTAACTTCTACAAACTTTCCCACGATCCCACGGAACACGGAAAACAAAGCGACCGCGGATACTTCCGTGCTGTAGCGAATACACCCTCTATCATTCTGCTTTCCCTTTTTCAGCACGATGTCGACCCGATAATAAAGTTTCGCGAGTGTAGCCGCGTTTCGCTGCCAACGCGGGGAGAAACTTTTTCCTCGTACTTTTGTTTTGTTTGATTATCCGAGGACGCGTCATATAATAACCACGTTATTGTTACTGTCGCTAAGAAAACTCCTTTTTTTACGTCAACGCATACAACACTCGCGAAATCAATTTATAAATCTGTGTTCGCATTTTATTTCAGTAAAAGTTTATTTCTATATTGAATTATAGAAAATAAACTCTTGATAAAAAATAATAAATGTATAAAATATATTGAAACAATGGTTGTATCAAGAATAAAAAATATAAATTATATCGTTTGGATATTTTATGATTAATATAATAAAGTTAATCCGTTTTAATACAATCGAATTTTGACAAAATTTCACAAGATATTCTTTAAAAATTGAGATTTTCTGATACGTGTGCTATGAAGTTTTATGCCTTGAAGTTTTATTTTTAGGATTTTAGTCTCCCTCAAAGTATAGCCAACAGCTATATAGCAGTTTATATTTTATGTAAAAGATATTTACCCAGCAATCCTCTCTCGGTTACTTGTCGGAAAAAATCTAACCACGTATTTAAGATATATATTCTAGAATTTTCCAGGTCACATATTATTAGATCCCGCTTAAAGTGATTCTACATTCTTTTTCGTAATCGCGCTTCCGTTGTTTCAGCTGCTCAATATGTGTCAAACTGATGCGGTACAATATAAGACTACATCTGTCACAAATGCATTTCCCTGACGTGCACTTTCGTGATCCAACGTAATATATGATTTATATATTTCGTAAG